TGTATGGGGGGCACCAGGGCAGTGGAAGCTGGCCAGCTGCTGCCTGCCCCTTGCATGTAAATGGGTAACCACGAAAAATCCGGTGTTAACATCCCATGTCTGCATTGCAGTTTTATAGCCCCAGTCCTGAATCGCATGATGCCAGCCAGTCATGGGTGTTTTATTTCTGCTCCCAGGTCTGGCCGCTCTGGGGCAGAAACTGTAGCCTCTTCTGTAGTTTCCATTAAGGATGTTAAAGACTAGTCGACCGTCTGATAAGCATTGGTTATCAGATAGGTTTTCGAGGAGTCGATAGGCATTTCTGCATTCCTCCTTTGAAACGGACAAGAGCTTGGGCTCTGTACATTTCAAAGGGGGAGTGCAGAACTCTGCCTCCAGCCCAGGGCCGGCAGGAAGTCCCGCTGACTTGCAGGTGCCTTCTTCAAAATGCACAAGAGTCCCCAGCAGGGGCTCTTGTGCATTTCAAAGCCAAGGAGCCCAGGATCAGCAGGGGACTCAGTAGCATGGAGCCTTGGGTCAGCGTAACATGTCAGCTGGGGGCAGGGTGGCATGGAGCCCAGGATCAATGGGGGACTCCGAGTCCCCCACTCATCCTGGGCTCCTTGGCTTTGAAATGTGCAAGAGCCCCTGGAGGCAGCTGGACTTCCACTGGCCCAGGGCTTTATGTGGAGTTCTGCATTCCTCTCATCAGGGGCTCTTGTACATTTCAAAGGAGTAATGCCTAAGTGCCTATTGACTAGTCAATTAACCAGGTTTTAACATCCTTAGTTTCCATCCCCCTTCCTCCTGGGTTATTTTATGTTCTGGCACTGGAAAAGCGATACACTCTCTAATTTTTTATGTCCATGTGTGGAAAGAATTTTGTTATGGCCCCAATAGGAGTGTGATGTGTTACACATACACCACCATACTGGAGCTCATAACAAGATTCATTCCGCACATAGGGTGTGTCTACACAGCAAAGTTATTTCGGAATAGCGGCCGTTATTTGGAAATAACAATGTGAGTGTCTACACAGCCATTCTGTTATTTTGAAATAATTCCCTGGTCACGGACGGCTAATTCCGAAGTTCCGACGTCTGTAAACCTCATTTTATGAAGACTAACTCCTCTTCTGAAAGAGCTCTTGCGAAATAAGGCATGTGTAGATGCTCCACTTCTGCTGTTTCAAAATAGCCCCTCACCAGGGTCGGTCTAAGTTATACCTCGTGGGGCTCTAAATCGAGAGAGCGTGTCTGCACTAGGGAAGCCAGCCTCAGATTCATTTTGAGGCTTCCCTGCAGCGTAGGCATGCTATTTCGAAATAAGCAATTTTGGAATAACTATTCCGGAATAGCTTATTCCAAAGTAACTGTGCAGTGCAGACGTACCTTTAGACAGCAAGTGGGAGGGACTCAGGGTTGGGGTGTGGGCTTGGGCTAGGGATGTGATTCAGGCTGTAGGTTGCCGTGGGGTGAGAGAACAACGCCTGCCGCTGTGGGCCAGATGAGGTGCTTCTTACCTGGCTGCAGCAGCTCCAGGCCGGGGAGGGGTGCCACTCTATGGCCCTGGCAGGTCCAGGCAAGCTGGGTAGTGGATGGATTTGGGGCACCTGTCCTCTAGTGGTAGCAGGTTGGGGTCAGGGTGCCTCTTCTCTGACCGTGACAAGTCCTGGGCCGTTCCCTCCTGGGGCCAGTGGGGAGAGGCCTCTCCCTGCTGCAGCTCTGAGCCCATGCCTGAGGCTTACTAGGCAGCTGTGTGGCCGCGGGGCTGCGAGGGAGCTTTGAGCATGATGGGGGACGACTTAGCCATGAGCATGGAAATAACTCTCTTGCTTAAAGCCTCCACCTGGGCCCACACGTGGCTGGCTCCGATCGCAGAGCCTTGCAGTGAATTCGACAGAACAGGCGCGTCTCTCGAATCGCTGCACTCAGCTTCCCTGGCTCTTGGCGAGGCCCAGTCTGGGTGGGGTCCCAGCTTGCTTTGCTCTCCCTCTTCCTGGGCATTGTCGGCGCATAGCGCCATCAGCCCCAGCTTTGTAAGATTTTCTTAAGGGGCTCACGTCTCTCAGCTCCCTCCCCCCCCCCCGCGCGAAGGACAAAGTCCAAAACCGCCCTGTGCTCCCGCAGCCCAGATTTGGCATCTGCCACTCCTCTAGCAGCTAAACCTGGCTGTGACCTTTAAGGCCCAGAAGCAGAGCCCGGGCTTTTTCTTCTGGGCAGCGTGCCCAGAGCAGAAACCCCAGGCCGATGAATAAATACATTCGCTTCATTCTGCCACTATGGACAGGGGTGGAATAGTCAAAAAGGGCTTTCCTTGGGAAAGCTTGTGAATGTTTCCTAGTTTTTTTTTTTTTTTTTTAATCTTCAGCATTTCACAGGAGATCCTGGCTGGTTTTTCTGCCCCATGTGGTTCCATTGTGGAGCATGGTTTGTGGTTAAAAATGGTCAGATATGGTTAAAAATCCAACTAAGTCACCACGTCTTAGAGGGGTATCTGTGTTAAGTCTTTAAGGTGTCCCGGGACTCCTCGTTTGTACAGATACAAACTAACGGACAACAAACTCGTTACGCTTTCCTGAGAACAGAGTTTGGCAAAAGCGGGGGGGAAGAGGGGGGGTGTTGAAAACTAAAGCTCATTTTTTAAAAGCAAAGCCAGAGCATTTCTAATGCAAACTGAAAGCCGTCATTACAAACCACAAATGTTGATGGAAAACTTTTTTAAAATGTACAAGTTTGTAAAATGTACTATTTACTGAGTGTGGTTTTCAATTAAAAGTTTTGCTTTTTTAGAAAACTTATTATTCAAATTTTTAAACCAAAACCCTAATGTTTTTTAATGGGATAATTTTTTTTGGTAGATTAAAACTGATCATTTTTGTGACCACTATTGGGGGGAAGATTGTAGACCTTTTTCTGACCCATGATTTTAATAAGAACTTTTCATTTTCCACAGCAGACTAATTAGCCTTTCAAGGTCCCTTCCAGTTCTAGGAGATAGGCAATCTCCATTCATTTTTTTTTTAAAGCCATGGGAACAAGTCACTGTGGTTATGTCATGTCGAACCGACAAAGACTTTTTGAAAGAGGATATGCAAATTTGGCGGTAGTTTGCATATCTTCTTCTGATCGCATTTTTGAAAGAGGATCTTTGGAAAATGAAAGTAGTCTGGATGTGTTTTTTGGGGGGGGGGGGAAGACCCTTTTTTGAAAAAAACGCACAAACCTCCTTTTTTTAGGAAGAGTGGTTTTTTCTGAAAAAGGTGGGCTTGCTGAAACCCCCCCGCGTCCAGACTACTTTAGTTTTCGAAAGTTCCTCTTTCAAAAATGCGATCAGAAGAAGATATGCAAACTACCGCCAAATTTGCATATCCTCTTTCGAAAGTGAAAGTAAGTCTCGACATACCCTCAAGGTGGATTCTCAGTTGTAGACAATTTAAAATCAAGACTGGTGGCTTTTCTAAAATCTCTGCTCTAGGGCTTATTGTGGGGCAGGTCTCTGGCCTGCGTTAGACAGGAGGTCAGACGAGCTGATCGCAGTGGTCCCTTCTGGCCTTGGAGTCTGCAAATCATTCAAGTTTCCTTCTAAACGCCATTTTTCATGGGGCAGGGAAAGGAAAAAATTTTGATGAAAATATTCCAGTGAGTCCCTTGGGATACAGGCTTGTGAACAGGCACAGAGAATGAGCGATAGCCTGGACTGTTAGCAGCCATTAACGAGGAGGGGCACTGTCCTAGCTGTGATCAGCTGATATTCTGTGCCTCAGTTTCCCCATTGGCGATACCGTTACATGTGTTCTTTGCCACAGCCCTTTGAGATCTGTGCAGGGAGAGTGCATGAAGATGAGGGGATTATTCCTAGGCTCTGGCAAGTTTTGCAGAAGCCAGGAGAGGTGATGAGAGGGTGTTTGGTCTGCAGTTAGCTGTGCCAGCTGAAGCTGGTGTGGTCCCTTTCCCAGAAAGTCCCCAGGTGGCATGAGTCATGCCGTTGGGGCAGCTTCCCCTGCCGCCTGATCTGGCCTCTTCTGCTTTCAGTTTTGATTGGGACTGTTTCTAATGGGCCAGGTAGCAGCAGGAAATTGACCCTGTTCTGGTTAAAATCGTGGCCAGAGTGACTGGCACCTACCAGCCAGCTGCTGCTCTGTTGGGCAGATGCCATCGGGGAATGTGGGTATCAGCTGTTGGGACTCTTATGTGCCGCTGGCGTTCCTGAACGGCATTCTCACGCTGGCTGGCATGTGTGCGTGGCGCTTGAAATGGAGCTGGGGAACTGAAAAGATCAGGGCTAGCTCAACCGCCAGGTCGGGGCTGGATGCAGGAATCTATAGGGGCAGTTCTCAGGCCGGGGCTCTGCTGGAGGGCAGGTTGGATGGGCACGAATTCTAGCCTTGAATCTACGACTCCAATGCTGTCTCTCCATCTCTCTAGATTTTCTCCATCTTTGCTTTCTCCACCTGTGGTGG